AAAAGTGCCAAATTTAAAGTGGTTTCAGAATGCTGCAGTACGTTCACAAGAATAATTCTACTCTAGTACGTTTCTAACTCTTCCACTAAAAGAAAGGCACCAAAGGTAGAATGCACTACAATGCTCTTTAGGGACAAATAGCCTTCAGAGGAATGTAAAGGAAATATTAGTCAGCAGCTGACAAAAACAGCAATTTTTCAACCATCAAAGCTAGTCACCTTCTCTTACAGTTTTGGATGCTACTTCGGCAAACGGATTAGCAAAAATATTTAGGCAAGAGATACAGATTTCTTACCTAAAGAGTAGGATTTGAGCTTTGCCATGAAACTAAACATATTTCAGATGTGTTATTACAGAGAAATTATACAACAGTATTACAACACAAACTGGGAAAAGTTGTGTAATTTCAGTTTCTGGTAGTAGTATGGTACATCAAATGTTTTACTGAATTCTTGAATCTCAAGTTTGTGTAAATGTGGCAGGCCAGCTTAAGAAAGTTCTAAAATTAAAGCTGTGTTCTAAAATTAAAACAAAATCCACAAATGAAAAATACAGCACTGCTTGGGGCAGGGGGACAACATTCTACAATATATTAGGTGTGGATCCAGAGACTCTACCGATTCCTCGCTGAAATTTCAATGGATTTCCCTGCAGCTCAACTGACTGCAAGGGAAAGACAAAACAAATGGGTTAAAAATTAACAGGTTTTACATCTAGTTGAGAGCTACAAAAGGAAGATGGGTCTAACGACAAATTCCAAACGGTTTTTCAGAATAGGAGACAACTAGGCTTGGCAGAGACAATAACAAAACACCCTGCAGCAATAAGGCTTGATCGGTGGTTTACAGTAGTTGTCTCCAGGAAACACAGGAAAACAACACCACAGCAAAATTTACAGCACAATACAGAATATATAAACACAACCTTACTCCTGAAAAGAATGTTCCCCTCAACTTAGTCCGCAAGACTAAAGTACTACAAAACATACACAGTTCTAATGTGAATGTCCTACTTGCAAAGCAAAAAGAAGGCTTTAGAACCAGTTCCAGCAGGGCCTATCTAATCGAGAAAATGCACCACCGAAAGGATGGGAATGAAGGCAACGCAGATACAAAGGCAGCATTTACTTGCTTCTTGCAATGGTGGTTATAACTTTACAACTAGTCCTAGTACCATCTCATGTACTGCTTCGCTGCTCTCTGGAATTTCAGCTCTGCCACCAGGAAACCAGTTGGGCCAAAATAAACAGTATGAGGTATTGACATTTCTGGGATTGGTGTCAAAATGCCCCCATTACAGTTTTTATAACATTTCTGGGAGGTTCTAGCTCAGCCTTTTCGTAAAGTAAAGCATACATTTCACATCTTGAAGCAGTATAATGACATTTGAATTGCAAACTAAACTGGAAGGATGTAATCAATCAGTACATAATGAGTAACCCACAGCAAGTGGGCTTCTGCTCTGAAATTATTTTAATTAGTGTTTCCTGGCTGTGATACCTATAGATGGGTTTTCACAAATCAGAGATAACAAGTGTTTTATTTGCCTATTGAAACAGTAAAATATATGATGGAAAGTAATAAGCGTGAAGAAGTCTACCTCAGGTTAAACGAACAGCCTTTCCCTCATCAATAACCTGCAATACAGATAAACAGGAAACTACATGTAGAAGTGTTATAGTTCTGCTGAGTGACCTAAAAAGTAGATTTTCTTGGCAGTTTCCATATGCTTTTACCATGATAAGAAGCAGCTGCAAACTATAACACCGCAGATATGCTCCCTGCAGCATTTTCACAAAGTACACATAAAAAGACAGCACTTAATGGCACCTGGCAGACAGCCAAATTAAAGTTATGGCACTTTGAAACTATTAAGGATATCCTAATGCCACTTTCCCCTGGATTCTTCCCATTCTGAGAGAACTGCACAGGGTCAAGACTGCCAAATGATCAAATCAGCACATTTCAGGCATCATTTTCAACTTCAGTTTTGCGATCTCTGTACTTCAAAACATTTAGAGGAGCAAAATGAAATCATTTTAACTACCAACAAAAAAATAATGATAAAAACATGATCAGCAAGCCCTTTTGTTTTCAGTTTTCAGAGCACTGTTTTGAAATCCTCTTCAAATGTGAAAGACAGACATGCATTTGTTGTCCCTAAGATAGGGTTTAAAGTCTTTTAGGCCCCATTAAACTTCAGATGCAATGCTGTGTAACATGTACTCTTAATATTTTAAATGTGGTTTGCATTTGTAATACTGCATTTTGTTCCATATGAGATAAATGTCGTCTGAAGATTTCTGACTTTTGGGTTTTTGAATATTTTTGCTGTAGTGGCTTTAAGAACAAGCATCTTGTACATTTACAGAGGGTGGACAAAATAATGGAAAAACCGAACAAAAAGGACTCGTATTGTAGTGTCAAAGATCATAGCGGAATACTCCAAACAAGAGAAAACAGCATTAGGAAGGGGAACAGTGATAGCAAGTTTAAGGTCACTGACAGGGATTGATAGTTTCTAAAAACCACAAAACAACGTGCAAAATAAAGTACCACAGTACTGAAACTATACTTCTATGAGTGCAAAACCCAGGTGACAGAGTAGAGGAAGAAAGTAATATGGTCTGTTGAGTTGTCTTGTACCTGTTTTTCCTATGGACACCTTTTCCATCTGGACAGGTTTATGTTTGGAGAAAGCCAAAGGAAGCCTTGTTGTTACATTGCTTGTTCTCAACCGTTAAACATGGTGGCAGATCTGTTATGGTCTGGGCAGCCATTGCATAGGAGTCACTGCATGGTGGAGTTACGGCCAAAGTCATTTGAGGCAACCAGCTGCTCCTGATGATGCAAACTGTTTCAAGATGTTCCCACATTCCAAGATAACACGCACATACACCGCTATATGGATTCAAGGGTGATTTCATGTCCACCAGAATGAAGTCAAACACCTTGCATGGCCCAATCACCAGAACAAACATCACTGAACCTTGATGGGAAGCTCTGGAATGCAGAGTGCAGAGCGGACTTCACCTTCTTCATCTCTCAGAGAACTGGAGACTTTCCTTCTTGACGAATGGTCTAAAAGCCCATAAGAAACAGTTCAAAACTTGTATAACAGTATTTCAAGGACTGAAACTCTTATGAAGGTTGGCCCAATTCCTTGTTAGTTAATATATACATGAATTGCTTGGGGTTTCAATTATTTTGTCCACTCCCTTTATATACTATACTGTACATGTGTGTGTATATATACTATACATACGAGTTCTATACATGGATTCTGTGCATAAATCATTAAAAGCAGTCAAGCAGAATAAGAATTTCATGCATAGTTTAGACAGACTACATTTAAATATGGTTTCCCTAAGAACATGGTGTTTTGTGAGGCGATCATTTTCATGGCAGTACACACTAAAAACTGTTTAACAGAGTTTTCAGCCATCTTTCTCTAAACCTCAGCCTAACGCTACCAGCAACAAAAAGGGTGTTGCCATATAAATGGTGCTACTTTGTTTTCTGTTTCATTTTTTTCCCTTTATATAGTATATTTGTTTTAATTAGTAACCCTCATTTTAATAAATAGGTCTTGTATTTCTAATTATTGCCTTGAACTAGTGGAAAACTGATTTTCACTTAGATTTTCACTTAGAAAAACTAGGAGCTGGTGTATTACAACAGCAAATGGATAGAACAGTAGAGTATTAAGTCAACAGTCTCAGAAATGGAACATGGGAAACCTTTAGACAATTACAGGAAAAAGGTTGTCTAATAAAATTAATCTTTTCCTCAGGTGTTCGCCAAGGAAGATATGAACAACATTCCTTCGGCTCTGGAAAAACATAAATCTTTATTAAATATTACAATAGAAATGGCAGATGTGCTACAGATACAAGAAGCATCTAGGATAAATGTACTTCCAGGCCCTGATGGTATTCTGCCAATTGAATTTAAAGAAACAAGAGATGCTTTTCATAGGTAAGAAACAAAACTCAACCTCAAGACAAAACTCAGCCAAGCAATTACAGACAAATACATCTTCCTTTCATAACATGCAGGGTTATGGAAAACATACTAAGAATTAAACAAGATCTGTATCATGAATCGTCTGTATAATTCTAGAGCACCATCAACATGGGTTTGCAACTAGTGGGCTTTGAACAAGCAACAGTAGTAACATACTGCACAGATAAAGCAAATAGTTCAGCGTATTTTGATTTTCAAAAGGCTTTTGACAAAGCTTCCCATAAAAGATTATTTTTTGAAATGCAGATAGAAGGCACTAAGGAAAGACTCTGGATTTAGAATGCTCAAGTTGGGTTATGAGAATCTGGTTGAAACCCTAAAACAAGGTTGAAGATGACACAAACACAGGAGGATAAGAAAACACCAAAAATATTGCAAAGCAAATAAAAAAAAACACGTACATAGAATTCAAGACTTGTGAGACGACATTTAATGTCAATAAATAGTTTTAAAAAACTGAATTTTAAGAAAATATCAAGATATCTTAAAAATGTACAATAAATAGTAAGACCTCATTTAGCATGATGTGTTCAATTTTGGCCACCGCAAAATAAAAACCATAATGCACTTCTGAAATCATTCCAGAACAGATTGATCAGTTACATTCCCAGGTATACAGAAATATCCTATTTTGTCAAGCTAGGATCTCATTCAGGCATGGTGTGAAAGAAGTGATGGTATTGGCTTCAACAGCATTTCTAGGTTGTTTTTTGTGGGGAAGTCGTGGGTTTATATACGGTAGGCAAAAAAAAACACATGAAAATGAATTTCCATAGACAAAGAATTAGCTTGTGTAATGATGCAAACACAGGGCAATTACCAAACTTGTTCTGCCATTTCACTGAACTAACAACTGAAACAGCCCCAGAGGACTGCATGTCAGAAGTGAACACTAGTGGCTCCCTCCCTCGGTGTCACAGACTGGTGCAGCAGGTGAAAGGTATGAGGGCTCGAGAGGCGGCAGGTCCCACTTACTCCTGGTAGCAATGTTGCTCTCTCCCGCCGGAGGCAGCAGCTCGCTGTCACGGAAGACCTGTGGCAGCCCGACTGTGCGCACGGCAGGGTCCAGCACAACAGAGCTCTCGTTCACTGTGACGTCACTGGCGCCTGTGACCTGATTGGTGGGCGGTCCCCCGATGGAGACTTCGTAGTCTGGCAGAATCTCGTCAGAACAGTCCGCATTGGGCTGGGCATACAAAGAATTGTTAAATAAAGAACACCACAGCTACTTACAACAACAGATTCACGGACCAGAAGACTGAAGGGCGGATCTGTTGGGTTTGTGAGAAACTGTAAAGACACAGCAAGGCCACAAAACAAAAAGCATGCTCATGTCTTTAAGATACATGCAACTAACCAGGAAGTACCAGTGGTTAGATGCTCCAGGACTGTTTTTTTCTTTGAAGTTAATCTTTTTAAAAGGCTTCATCAGAACAAAGAAACAATGCCTACTTTCTGGGGGAAAAGCATGAGCTGCACATGTTGTCATGCACGATGGTTCTGGATCATGTGCGTAGATTCCGTGGAAAGATTTCACTATCGTGAAAAACAGATTTCACATGATCCGTTCAGCTGTCACAAGGCAGTAAAAGTTTCACAGAAAAAAAAAATTGCAAAAGTATTTTAAGTGCCCCAGTCCCACAGGAGAACTCTGGTTTTCATGAAATTTTGACATTGCTTGAATGAAAAAAGAGACAACTAATCAATCAGAAAGGTTGAGCAAAATTGATAACATCAATTATTAGCAGCTGTACTGTTTGGAATTACATGCTATTAGTAAAAATGAGTGGCTACTGTTTTACAAAAACCTGCATAAGGAAATTCTGAAACTTCACTTCTATCATAAAAATGAATGCTTTGTATACAAAACAGACAAGCGGTGCAGCCATATCAGAAGCCAAAAGGATCAGAGGTTAATTTAGAAATGGAACATAATAATGGAAAAAAGTGTTTTTGACTGAGCATACCAGCACAGGTTTGTATTAATTTGAGAATCACAAAGTGAAGTCATGACATGACATTTTAAAGGGAAACTGCAGTCCCAATTTCTGAGACTGGTTGTTAAATGTCAGTAACAAAATAAATTCATTGACAGTATTGAAAATTTTTACAAATTTTAAAACAAACATAAAATCTTGAACTTTGTGAAAGTACTGGAAGTCACTGTGTTGTTGCAAACACCTGGTCTTGTCATGGGCGAGATCAAGAGTCCCCACGAATTGTGATATGAAGCGGCCCTTCCTGCTCACTAGTCACTGTAAGGACTAATGCAATGTGATGTACGAGAGAATTAAGTACAGGTTGTGCAGCAGATATTTCACCACAGAAAATGTCATTCCATTTATTGCAGAACTGTCTTGCAGCCGAGAGCAATATTTCTATGGGATTAAAAGAGTGGTATTCACAAGCCTGCTTGTCTACAATGTCAGGGGGCCGCTTCATGTCACCAGATGTTTTGTTGGCTCATTCTGAATCACAGAGTATGACGCTCCGCATACCTGGAAATTCTATTTTGTTCTATTATGTAAACTGGAGTTTACTTTTTTTTTACTGATTTTGCTTTTATCACGGTTTGAAATGCACTCATCAATGCTGATTTGTTCTAACTCCTCTAAATAGCATTACAGTTGCCCTTTAAAAAACTGCAAAAAAACAATAGGCGATTACACACAAGGCTGAAAATGAAACTGGAAATAAACGATTTCAATTTCAGATAAGCAGATATTAAAACTAAAACTCAATGACGGAGGTCCCAATTTAGTTCAAAGAAGCATATACTGTAAGGAGATATTTATAATCCCAGCCTTATTTGTCACATTTTTCCTACCAAGAACATCCCGTGTGGCTCATGGAGCTGCCGTGATAAAGTGTTCTAAAATCAAAATAAAGCACCTCTGTACAGCCTCAGCTAATACGTACTCAATACAAAAAAACTGATACAAAGTGGCTCAACTATTAAAGCTCTTAGCTAATGCATTCTGAAATTAGAATGCCACAAATTATTCTGTATGATCTGAAGTGAAACAGATCACATCCCTATTTTTCTTGATGATCAGAGTTGTGATATGTGTTTAAGCGTCCTTTGCTCGTGTCTGAAAGACAGACATCCACCTACTGTAGACAATCCCTCTGACAATAGGCACTAATAACAGAATAGTTTCGGAATCCAAAATGTTCTAGTTTCACCACTACAAAATAATCTGTGCAGCCGTGCCAGAAACAAATGTACAAGAATATCTGTACAGTAGTTAATAAAAGTAGATTCTATCTTAAAAAATTACAAAGGCATAACTTTGTTAAACATCCCTCAAGTTCAAGATGAAACTTCCACCTCAACATGACTTAGATGAGACCATTTAAATGGGACTGTAATTCTAAATGCAATCAAAGATAATGGTGCTTCTAAAACTAACCTGGACCTTGAATTCAATCAAATTCTGAACATCATTTAAACATTAGTCTTTATGTTAGCCCAAAAGTTGCTGGAAAGAGAAAACAAAATAAAGTAATGAAAGATGTTAAGGCAAAAAGTGATTTCCTGCCAACTTAATTCACGAATGGGGAGAAACTGAGGGTCTATCAAAATTTAACACAACACACATTGCCTTGCAGAAAGTATTCAAACCCTTGTACAGTTTACATATTTTGTTGCTCTAAAGCTTGCTGTTGTGATACTTTTTATACAAATTATATTTGTTATATATACAACCATCCCCACATATTTTTATCATAAACACACCTATGTTTCTAAGATCCCTCAATCAGGTCTTGAATTTCAAGCAACAATTCAACAATGAAGACTAGTGAGCTTTCAAAAAGTTGTTTTCTAGAAAACAACTTTCTAGAAAGGCACATAACAAGGGAAGGGTATAAACTCTGGATATCTCTCAGAGCATAGCGAAACCAATGATTAAGAAGTGGAAGGTATCTGGATACTGCTTAGATCAGGCTGTCCCTCCAAACTGAACAGCCAGGCAAGGAGGAAACCAGTGAGGAAGGCCACCATGACACCAACAGCAAAATCGACAAAGCTACATAGTTTAGTGGCTAAGGTGGGAGAATGTGTCAATCCCAGTCACTACACAGTTTTCTTGTATGAAATTGAAATCCCCTCCATCTCAAATCCTACAAAGGGTCTGCAACAAAGCATCGTAGTAATACTGCAAACAAGTAGCAAAAGGTTTTGTGATCAGATGAGACAAAATTGGAATTGTTTGGTCTAATTGCAAAGTATTACATCTGACGCAGACCCAGCATAGTGCATCACTCTGGCCACACCATCTCACTGTCAAGCATGATGGTGGCAACACTGTGTTAAAGTCCTAGTTCCCATCAACAGGGACTGGGAAGCTTTCCAGGACTGACAGGAAAGTAAACAGAACAAAGTATTCACAAATCTTAGAGGAAAACATACATCAGACATAAAACTGCGATAGGAATTCAGCAGGACAATGATCCAAAGCACAAGGCCAAAGGTACTGCGATGGCTTATGAATACAAAAATCAGTGTCCCTGAGTGACCCAGTCAAAGGCCTGACTTGAATCCTAGTGAGAATCTGTGGAAAGGCTTAAAAATTGCTCCTGTTAGCGACCCTCTACACAAGCAACCCGAGAGAGCTTGAGCAAATCTGGCAAGAAGAATGGGCAAAAACTGGGGATTGTGGGAGGAAATCAGACCCCTCAGAGGAAATCCATGCAAACACAGGGAGAACATAGAGACTTTGTAGATAGCACCCCAGGTCCAGAATTGAACATAGGGCCCCAGCACTGCAAGGCAGCAATGCCAACCACTGCGCCACCATGCTGCATTCTCAGAGTATATAGGCAAGCAACATATCTAAGTTTCTTTTGTTTAGCTTTCTCTGTCAATTACTGTAACTTATCTTGCCCTTAGAGATCTTCAGTCTAAGTATTCAGATTTTGAATACAACATTAAGTATATAAACCTTTATGTATCATTTTGTAACTTCTCAAAATGGAATGCCACAGTAAGGATTTGAACACTTTTGCATGGCACAGTAGTTTCAGGATTCGTTTTTTAGGCTCAGATCAAAATTGGACTTTAACTGAATTCCTAAATGAACTTAACCATAAGGGAAATGCCATTTTAAAATAAACAAACTTCAAGAGGTAGCCCCTCATATGGAATAATCCCACATTATGAGCAAGGCACATACAAAACAGGAAGGCTGAAAAAATATTTAAAGCTCGTCTTCGAAGTTCAGTTTTTTCTCCTCCAAGCAAGATTAAGAAAAACTAACGCATAGTATCTGGCAGCTACACAAATCCGGCCATCGGAGAGTTTTCCCCATTTTAAATGGGAAATTAACACTGATAAGAGTTGGCTGTGATAAAAAAAGGCGGACCATGATTGACAGTACTGTTGTCGCTACCAGACAAGAGTAATGAATTTAAAACCATGTAAGGTTCATGGTAAAGCTAAACAATACTGCTCTCGTTACAACATGCTTACTCAGGCATTTGGAGATGATGCATGCCTATAATTAGAAATCTTCATATTTTGCTTTAGTGTGCAATATCCATGCACGGTAACTCATTTCTTATTTGAACAGGCAGAAATTGCTCCTCACACAGTACCAGGAAATTTGCAACTTGAAAGTACAGTAGGGTCTCAACATTTGTGAAGGTTTAGTGCAGAGAACTGTTGCGAACAGCTACATTTACATATAACCAAGACCACCCCTATATCGTTGCATAAGGTACTACACTATAAAGTATGGACTGTTAAAGACATTAGTAACCCTCCCTTATTATAATAATACTATAATTAAAGTACTAATGCATTGGCTCCAGGTTAATTAAAAACTAAAACAGTCCTCACAAACTTACAGTAATCAGCTAAAATAAACAACATGAATCCTTCCTCTGTGTCCAGTGGATGCCTGCACTTTCACTACCTCCGTGATTAGCACGACCCACTTTAATGAAACAGGCAATAAAACTGTCAGAGAGCCTGTATAGTCGACTCCAGCTGGTCATTCCCCACAACACTGACACAGAACCAGTTTGTTACAATACAAAAACAAGACCACGTTGAGATGTGGCTGTTGGGTAGTGGGTACTTGGGCAGGGAGCAAGGAGAAGCTCAATCGGTAGCTCAATTCATCTCATGATCCAGATCTGCAGTGCAGCTCATTTGAAAGTTGTGCTTACCCTATGGCTTGGTTTCATCCTGCACTCCTCTTTTTCCATACAAGACCCCGTCGGCCAAACCCGAATCGCAAATAAACAAATTTGCATGTTAAATAGAGAACCCACTGTACACTTCTTCAATATAGAGGATCTGCTTCAGAGAGATATTGCAGGATTCCAAGCTTGTGAAGAGAAATGAATGTGAGTGGAATACAACTAGGCAGACTAGTATAATTTCAGTACAGAGGTTTGACACTTACAGGGATCCCCAAAGCTTTAAGAATGTTCATTTTGCACATTGGACAAGTCCGATGATCCTGAAGCCATGGATCTACGCAGTTCTTGTGGAATAGATGCCTGCCAAAAAAAACAAACTGTTAACACTTGCCATTACCCCTGGGGGCTGTTATTTTAGTTTTATTCATGAGAATGTCAATGATGAAAGAGCACATTAGTCATGCTACTTGGCAGCTTCCTTATTCCTAAGATAAACGGGACAGTATCTGCAACATAAAGGTGTATTGCTGTATCAGTCATTTTCTTTTAAAATCCCAGATCTTTTGAAGAAGATAAAATTGAATGCTGAGCACAAATGTACTTGATTTTAAGTTGAAAGGCACCGTAACCTTTTTGTAATTATAAATGGTTTAAATACTATATATTAATTGCAGACTGTTCTCACTGAGTTTTAGGGGTATCACAGATTCCCAGTTGTGGAACTGGCAGCCTCCTGCATTTTAATCATCTTTGTTCTATCTGGGGCGTGTGTTTTAACGTTGCTTTAAGCTCTTAAAGGTTAAATGAGATTTGCAATTAGTATCAGCCCTGTAGCAATTTCTCAGTTAACACAGCCCTCATTCTGGTGTGTTACAGTAGCTAAAACATAACCAGCTTGACCTCTGCAGAAGGAAAAAAAAGTTTACTGTGGGAATCTTTATTATCGTGTCATTCCCTGCATCTCTAGTCAGAAATACAGGTCAGCAAGCAGAGGAAAGGCTGCTTAAAGTTCCGTATGAGGAAGCGGTTAGTAACACTTTACCTGAAGTACAGGATTTTCAAAACTCAGGACTAAGTGCAGAACTAAGTTAATCAAAAGGCTAAACAAGTAAGAAGATACTGTACATTTACAGTATGTCAACAATTATCCTTAGAGATTCAGAGCTCAAATGGAATGAAATCCTGCAGCCAGAGGCATCCTGACATAATTTTGCTTATTGGTTCTGTCGAGCTTGAATCTATAGCCTTGTAGTACTGTTCATTTTCTGCTCATGTCTTTTCTTTTACATCGTGGAATCAGACAGAATCCCTCAGTTTTCTCCACCCTATAGAGGTTTGTATACAAAAAACAATGCTGACTAATTGTCTAACACTTAAAGACATGAGTCTAATGTAAGGAATTCCTTTTGAAGATTTTATGATGTTTTATTTTATTATTAAGAATTTCATTTTTTGTCCTTGTAAGCATTGTCACAAGTTATGATGATAATGCTCTTATTTTTTCCAAACCAACCACTACTGTATGCCAAAGTTAGGAAGGAAATGGGGCATAAAAACTCTAACAGTTGCACAGGAGGATCAAAACTGTAGGAAATGCGAGGGGAAAAAAATTATTATAGCCAGAATGCAATGTTCCACATTTTTAAAAGTATTAATTCCTACAGGAAAATGTTTGATGCTGCTGGATTCAACTTTCTCCTTGCCACAGAGTTCTAAAATGTTCCTTTGGGAGTCTCATAACTGTTAGATATAAAAAAAATGATGGATTCAGAAAAAGTGTGGTATTACATTCTTGGCAACCCTTGGAATTAATCCATCCATTACCCAGACAGTCTACAAACCTGGATATTCAATAAATCTAGTCAAATCTAAATATGTCACACAGTAGCTCACATTTCTGATCAATGCATGAAAACATTTAAATCTGAAAAGGACCACAAACACATAATTAAATACTTTAACACTACAGATCTAGGGAATATAGACTGTGTCAGGTTTCTGTGGCAGCAAATCTTTAGTGTTTTTTAAGATCCACTAAGATGTACCAAAATGGTATGTTTTTGACTAGATATATAAGAAAATGTGTTTGTCGTATGGCTTTTCTTTACTACAGCTAAGATGTCTTTTCACATAGTAGTGAACTGTATCAAAGAAAAGCACTAGAGAAACAAATAAAGGCACTAAAATACCTTTCAGTGTTCTTTATAGGCACACAAAAATCACAAAGCTTGAAACAATCATTCAGTGATTGGAAAATGAATTGAATGTATTTCCACTAAGAGAAAATTATGTCTTCACTGCTAAGTACATGGAAGCTTGTAATGTTTCACAAACAAAAGAAAACTGGGGGGACCTCATATATGATGTAATCATCATATGCGCCAACACAGAAGCTGAGATAGATAGCTAAACAGATAAGTTGTTGATACACAACAGAAAGGCATACAACTGTCATAGGCATCTCGCGCAGGAGAGCTGCAGGGAGTAGGCATTGCTATGGCAGCTGGTCACATTTCTACCCATCAGTCAGACAGCACCAGTTGGAATGGATATGCAATCAAACAGGAGACCCATCCCACCTGGGGGGAATTTACAATCACGCCGCCTCAGGTGGTTCAGGCTATTTAATGTCTACTATGACTGTGCTCTGAGAGTTTTGCTTAGCACCTCTCAAGTGTTTTGTTCCCTAGATTACTTGTTCTGTTTTGTGCTTTTTTTGGATTCCCAACTTCACTACATTCCCTACTACAGCTTTTGGATTCTCTCGGTGTCTTGTTACTGTGTTTACTTGGTTTCAAACTTTCCTTTGTTTTTGACTACACCCTTGGATTGTGTTTGCCTGCCTGTTTATCTAGCCTGCCAGCTTGCCGCTCAGCCCGCACTACCTGATCATATCATCTTGCTCATACACTGCTATTCTGCCTCTTCCCTTGCCTGGTTTTGTGGTTATCTCTTGAACAACGGACCACTACTTACTTCCACATGCAATGGACATTACAGCAGAAACCCAAGAATGTGCACTATTCATTATTGGCTATCCAGTCTTTGACAAGCATTTTTAAATACATGAAAAAAAATGAATCCTTTTAAAACTGAACTACATAGAGAAGTGGTTTCTCAACACACTGCCTCTCTACTTCTATTCTTGATAAATTTTATTTACTCCGATTAAGGGTCCAACACCATTTGCTGTTTTTGGGTTGGATGCACACAGCAGTTGGTATAGACAACTGGAACAACAGCAGAGACACTGAACACATGACAAATTACAAGAACAACACAATACCAGAAAATACAAAAAACAAAAATGGGAAATCACAGTCTTCTTCAAGTCTCACCTGACATATGAAGCCAAAAGTACTCAGATTTGTAGTATTTTACTACATATTCAATTAACACTGCAAATCTTGCCGATCACACAAACCTTTCATATTATAAGATAACTATTTTTCAATAGTTTGCTATAACTTGGAGACAGTCCATCCATCCATTTTCTAAGCTGGAGCCTATCTGAGCAAACAGTGGGTGCAAAGCAGGATACACCCTGGACAGCATGCCAGTCCATCGCGGGACTGACACAAGAACAGACTGCTGTCACTCATACCAGGGCCGAGAAGTTAATTAACCTACTGTACCAGTACGTCTTTGGACTGTGGGAGTAGCTGGCGAAAACCCAAGCAAACACAGGGAGGACATACAGTACCAACTACACACAGATGACACCCCAGGTCTGGAATTGAACCCCTGGGCCTCAGCACAGAGAGACATCAATGCTTACCACTGCACCGCCCTCTTGCACCCTAGACACAGTCACCAGACTTAAATTACAGATCTGATATTTCATGTTAATCTTTTTATGGAAAGGGTGCTTGATTCCACGTAATGGAAACCTACCAACAAATACAGGATTTGTAATTATCCATGGTGGGGCAGGTTTAACCTGTGTTATGACAGAAATAATTTATGCTAATCTCTTCACTGACATCAGCATGTAACTCCTTTGACATGACATTTAAATTATTACTGTATTTCATTTGCCAAACAAATAACTTTAACTATTTGTAATCATTGTGGAACCTTTGTACACGTCCGTAAGTTACTATTATCACAAAGACAAATAAATGCAACATTTAAAATATGGGACAATAAAGCAAACTGAAATTTAGAGTGAACACTTCCTTCTTCTGTATTTTTAAACAGTTTGTGCTTCCTCATAAGAGTTCGGTGAATTTACTGCTCTGACTAAAGCTCTAATAACACAGTCTAATAATTTTGCAGAAAGGTTCGGCTATTTAGATCTATTCTGTAGAATTTGTGAACATTGCCTTTGCCCTGTAATCGCTACAAAGTGATCAACTCTACATTTTTAGACTGATAAATTAAACCATGATAAATTTGACTGGTACATTTTTAAAGTTTAAAAGGGTTAGATTATTCTCTCCTGTTTTACAAGTTTTAAGTTGTGCTTAAAAAAAACATTTTACAGTGATGCTGTAATTTGCATGCATCATATAACCAAGAAAATAATTGATGTGTTGAACTCTTACCATAATTCTGAATTTAATAAAACCAGGAAAACTGCTATCTTACCGACAAGGTAGAATTCGGACAACATCATTTGGTTTGTAGCCTTCAATGCAAACTGCACAGTTATCAAAATCTGATTCAGTTTCCTGAAATAAAAATGGTTCTTTTTATTTTCAGTAAGAATTTCATTATCTAACAGTTTCTAAAATCATTAAAACATTTGCTGTAATTTCTGAAATCAGTCAGAAATATTTTAAAATATTAACGTAAAACACAGTACAAAGAAAATGTTTTTGTAAACTCCCTATCACGAACTTAACCTGCTTCACATAGACGTAAGCTACCAAAATGATCCAAAAGTATATATCCTCAATAAGGTTGAGCGAATAAGGTTGTGAACTCAAGTTCAGTAAACTGGTAGCACCTTTATTAGCAGCAAAGGCTTCAAGTAGACATTTGCTGTAACTCTTCAGTCTCTTGATTTGGCTTTTGGGGTTTTGGAATTTTGACCCCTTCTTCCTTACAGAGCTGCTTCACATCAGTGACATTTCAGGATTTCCTTGCCTCGCTTCAGGTCCTGTCACAATATTTTATTGGGATTTGGGTCCAGACTTTGATTTGGCCAAAATGCACAATTTCTTCCTTCTTCAGCCATTCTGTTGTAGATCTGCTTGTATGTTCAGAATCACTGTCTTGCTGCATGACCCACTTTCTGCTCTTCAGCTGACAAATGGATGTCCTGACATTTACCACCAGCATTTGCTGATGCAACACCAAATCTATGGTTCTATCAATGATGACAAGGCGTCCAGGTCCTGTGGCAGCAAAGGCAGCTCAAAACCACACTCTTCCCAGCACCATGTTCGACGGTCAGGACTCGGCTCTTCTGTTGGAAGACTGAAGATTTACATATTTCTTCGCAAAGATATTTTACTGTTGGATCATTTGGATAAATAATCTAAATATATTGTATGTCTTTATGTAAGACCATTAATCACATTATGTTCATCTTGTATTATGTCGTATCTTGTATTGCTCATCTTGAATTCAAGCCCTGGTACAGTCTGTACTGTCTATACTTTCCAAGATGTTTTAGGGCACCTTCTTCTGGGCAGAAACAGCCTCTGGAGGGCTGGAGGGCTTTAGGTACTAAGAGAATAAATATAACCATTTTAATTGTGTGTAGAAAATACAAATGCAAATGTAGACTATAAGAATTCTAACAGTGTATAAAACAGAACCCCTAAGACTGTTCTTCACACATGGCGGCTTCTTTTATACCTTGTCCCCTTTCTTAATGGTTCGCACTTGAAGCTTGCTGATGGCTTTTTTTGCTGCATCTCCAAGACGCCTCTGAAAAGACATCAATGCAACAGACAGAAACAATTCAAAAAGGGCTCTGGTGGCTTGCTGCAACTAGACACCACATTCATTTATTATTATTCCATGTCTTTCTTCAGACTATTATTTGGAATTATTCTTTTTGCTTTATTGGGTCTTGTTTCTTGTAAAATAATGGAGAACACGCATTGAAAAGTGCTATACTAAATAAAAACATTAATGAGTCTTTTGTTGGTTCTTGTTATTACAAAACCATTTGTTAATCTGGATCTGCAATGGCATGTGTGAAACAAATGCACTTCTTTCCATGAACTCTTGCAAAGAAGCTTAGCAATCCATTTTTAACCCCCCCAGCCCACCCCACACACACATACATCCTGTTGTTGCACAAACTGATTAACTCATTGTATGTTTCTCCTCATCATATAGCTGTGCTGCTAACAAACTAGAGGCTCTACTTATATATGACAATGAACCAGTAATTTACAGATTTTGTGTTGTTATAGCTGTTACTTTATACTTCAAATGACAGCATACTGTATGTTTAAATTATTTCTCAAACATTGAAAGTTTAAGATTTTTAAAAAACAGCAGCAGTAATATCCTCCTCCAGGAATGCAAGCCCTCAGACTGCAGCTATTTAGCTGTTAAAATGCCTCCCAAAACTTCTAATACTGTAGTTCAGTAAGAGGAAAATGGAAAGGTGACAAGGTTACATGAAAAAACATTGTGATGTAACAAGGTTTAATCAAAGAATTCACCATTCCAATAAAAACTGACAAACACAACTTAATAAACTACTTCAGTCTTCAGAAGAAGGGAATACAAGTGCAAATTCTGTGCTTCAGGTTCAGGACTCTAAACAGGAGGCAGCTGTGGGTGAACAGAAAATCACACTGAGAAATTCTGTGAATATGGTGGTAATAAGTGTCATACTTCAAAACACCTTGATGATATTTTTGTATCGCTAACTAACCAGCAACAAAAATTATGAATGTAGGACCAACTACTGCTGATGACACTGCCGTTATTGGCCGAATCACTGCTAATGATGAGACAGCGAACAGGGATGTGGTCAGGAACCTGTTGGAGTGGTGCATTGACAATAATCTCTCCCTCAATGTAAGCAAAGCCAAAGAGCTGGTCATTGATTTTAGAACACAGGGCAGGGACCACATCTCTATCCACTTCAACAGGTTGGCTGAAGAGATGGTTAGCAGCTTCAAGTTTCTGAGTACCTTCATCACCAATGATTTAACATGGTCTCAGCATGTAACTGGAGCTATAACGAAGGCACAACAGCATCTTTATTTCCTCAGACAGTTGACAACATTTGGTCTACTGTATCTTCAACCGTCCTTAAGAAATATTACAGGTGCGCTACTGAGAGAGTGCTCATTATATTATATTACAGTGTGGTTTGGCAGCAGCTCGTTGTCTGACCGGAAGGCATTAAAGGAGGTGATCACTTCAGCTCAGTCCATCATTGAAGTACAGCTCCCCTCTACTTCATACATTTTTACAACTCGATGTCTCAGGAAGGCTGGAAGTATCGCAAAGGATACTAGTCATCCTGGTTTCTCATTTTTCTCCCCCCTCCCCTCTGTTAAGCGTTATAGAAGCATAAAGGCAGGAGCTTCCAAATTCAGAGACAGGTTCTTCCCACAAGCTGTCAGATTACTGAACTCTACCCCTACCAATGGCTCACACTGATGTTTTTCTTTTAAACTGTATGTTACGTAACTTGTTTCTGCTGCTGTTCTGTGTTTGTTTCTTGGTGTTTCATTAATGTCTTTGTATTGGAGCATACATGCAAATAAGCATTTCATTGCATTTGTGCATATGACAAACTGAACTGATCAAACTTTACATGCTTGCGAGTTGAGACTCCCCATACTTGAAAAAATTGAATTATCTTTACTTCTGAAGTTAATAAAGAGAATCCAAACCTCCTAGAAACATGGCTCTTGAGGTGCTCTGCTAAACATACACCTAAAAACAATAAGGTACTGTAAACCTGAGGGACAAGAGACCACATCATACTATTCAGCATTAACTGAACAGATTCAGCATTTTGAATCTGATGATTTAAAGAGTCATCTTTAAATGTCAATCAAATGCTTCATGAGAAAAATAAAAATAAAAGTCTGAATCAGAATGAATGCCTCTTTCGGGACCTGAAGATAAGGGTGCTTCAAATCACATATTTGTTTCAACAATCTAATAAAGGTAGTCTGCATCCGTGCAGGTTATGGTCAAATATATTTGGGGATAGGGTCAGAGCCTGCCCAAATTAAAGATCAGAAGGCTGCATTAATGAGAAAGCAGTAATTGAATAATACAGCACCTCAAACACAAAATAAATAACCATTAAAGCTAGATCAAGCCATAAGTACTTTTACGTCAGTACATCAGCTAGAAGTAATTTAAAACTGAAAGGGCACAAATGAGCCTTTTTAAAACTGCCTGGTCAGGCTGTATGGTATTCCATCATTAATAGCACAGAAAGTTTATATTACATCACATTTAAAACATGTGCCACAACTAAAGGCAGGCTTGATCGTAACTGAGCATTCACATGAAATTAATTTATATGGGTGCAGCTGTATGAAATGAAAACACATGGCTCATTCAGAAGCCAGTATTCTGCAAGTCAGAAAAATCCTTCTGATACTTGTATGTTAAATATACATCATATAACTTATAACACATTAAACACCCACATTAAAACATATATTGAAAACATCACATGATGTGTTGCAGACAAACTGAAAAATGATCAGAGGTGTGATTTAATACAGACGGAAGATGGGTTTGTTGTTGGGGCTGGTTCTGAACAAACTTGAAAACTAAAAAGACCTGAAAAGGGACAGAATCTTAACTGACAATTAACACATTTCAATAGTGGTTCTCTCAAATGATACTTCACAAGCTGTTGGTTGTGGTCAGGGGAGAAACACTCTTGGCCTTGTCCACTGTGAAAAAGAGAATCTGTAGCCCCCAGTACTGTATTTAAAGACAAAAAAGAAGGGCTTACTAAAAGGTGGAAACATGTGGAACAACAGTCTTTTCATTTTTAAAATTACAGCAAAAGCATTTAAATTTAAATCTCCATTTAAAAGTTCTTTAATACTGTTTAAATGAACAACAAATACATTTTTTGACCAATATCTTGCACTTTATCCAGGCACAAACATGCTGACATTCTATTTCTGAAAGGTATTATACTGAATAATTTTTTTAAAAAGTTTGGCTTTGAAAGACAGCATAAGTTTGTGTTTGTTTTCGAAAGGAACCTTGGCCTGTCACTATCAAAGACTTAGAACAAACGTCATGAGATTCATCCGTATACATTTATTAAGTTCCTCAAGTAACTAATTCCTGAGAAAATATGAAAAGAAACAGGACACACAAGATTGTTAACATCTAATTATGGAGGTGTGCTATCAATCTGAGAGCTGTGCAACCAGATAACATCTTATGAATTCATGTCTTGGCAAAATTGTACCAAAAAAACCTGAAGATAAACAGGGGATTAAGAATATACTGTGACAGTAATGAAGCAAAGGATTTTATCTCCTGACAGGAAAACACCATAATTATAACTCTCCACTCTCCAATTTCCTTGAGTCCTGTATAATTAGCTGTGTAGGTAAAAGTTAATGAATTTATTAAATTAAATTAATTTGAGTAATACTTACTAAAGAATCTTCTTAAATGCTTAAATAATTCTTAAGTTTTTTTTTTAAGAGAAGCAACACTTCCACTAAAGATGAAATACATCATCTAGGGAATCAGTTGTGAGACATAATGACGATGCAGTCATAAACACGCTTCTTCTGGAATACATGACTGTTGAGAAATCTTCCATGTCTTCCATAACCAACGTGTACTTAAAAAAAACATGGATTGTGGCAAACAATCGTAAATGACTGCTGAAAAAGCAGTCACCAAAAAGTCTCCAGTGCAAAATGTAGGAGACTCCACTCTGATATCCAGAATATTACTGCACATAAAGTTAAAACGTTTTGCCATGCTTGTGCAGTTAATGCTGTGAACAAACACAGTAGCGCTGTTGTTTTAGTTCTGAACCCTCTGTTCCTACAATTTTGTCTTTTGCCAGCATAGAACTTACGTTTTCGTGATAAGATCAGCATGCAGACATCATGTAACAGTTGCAAACTAAATAAAATGTGACCCATCAACTATACAAAATTTAAAACTGATTAAAAGTCTGGCACTTACATACACTACTTCAACATTTAAAAATATTAAAGGGTAAGATTTACATAATTTAATGGGAGGACTCCAAAATAAACTAGAATAAGAAGTTCTTGATTAATGTGCAATATGAATTTATGAAACACAAACATCCAACTCACTCAATACATTTACCCTAATCAAGAAGATAGGACTCATTTTGAAGGCACACAGTGTGTGACCATGGGAATCCCAGACACAGATTACAAAAGCAGTGTTGCAACGGACAGCAGTGTGTTAAAATGTCTCTTCCTTACATTGGATATGATTATGACAGAAGCTAAGGAATCACTAATTCTCTGATTACTAATGCCACTCAGGTATGCCGGTGAAATCACTTTGTAGAGCAGCTGTGGGCGAATCAACTTGTAATACTGCCAGTGTGACTCAGTACTTTCACTGATCTTCTGGTGCGCTCCTTCAGCACATCTGTTCCGTGACATTTACAGGATATAAAGGAAGTGTTTGTGTATGCAGGAAGCTAAATGGGGTCACTAAATAGGAAAAAGGTAAAGATGCAGAACTTAAAAAAAGTTCATAGATCTTCAACATGTTAGAAACTCGACCATCTAAAACTACATCTTATTTTATATTTAAGCTTAGTGTCTGAACAAAATCATTCTATTTTTCTAGCCATCACACTTTATGTCAAAAGTAGCGCAGGGATACTTTCTCCTGGGTGCACTACTATAAATAACACCAACTTGCGTTTCCAAGGCCATTCCACAGTACTTTGCCTTGTGCAATCTGTGGAGCTCAGACAAGGGAATCCTTCTCCTACCTGGTTCCTGTCCCGGGCATTGGCGTATCTGAACCTCTGAATGTAGTAGAAGACAAGCCATGCTAGGGAGATGATCATGAGCACTATGAAAGAAATGGACACAAAAACTACAGAGGTCCGGCTGACGTATTTCTGCAGGTTGCGTGTTCCGATTGTAATGTACATCATCACGGTCACGTTCTTCTCCAGCAGGGACATTATCTCCCTTCCTTTGGGCTCGGGAATCATAATGGCCACAATGTCTCCTGTGCCTGGAGAGAAAATAAATGAAACATTTCTTCAGTCTGACATAAACAACATTTCAGTATGATACTACTTTGGTACATTAAGCAACCACTGCATTGGCACTGATTACCAAAGTGCTACACCCGGTATCCAAGCCCTCTGAACCCATATGAATACAATTAATTCTATAGCAGTCGTTGACACATTATCAGTTCAGGATGGCCTGTTATGACTAAAAGGTCTTTCAGCTTCCAAGATTTCCATTATATACAACTGCTCCCATTAGAGTACAATAAGGAGTGTTCTTTAAACCTCTATGTCTCTGCATTGTGAAAGCCCTCATTTCTCAAACCCTGCTCCTGGGGAGCCCCGATTTAGTTTTTGAGGTCACCCTAAATCACCTATGTCTAAAGAATGGGAATGCTAGTAAGCCATTCATCAATTATGGAAAATGTTGAGAAACCTCAGGGCCTTGGGAGTTCCCCAACAACTACAGTACTTAATTACTTCATTTAACAAATCATGACTTAATCGATCTCACTGAAATAGTCCCCAGTCTTCTTTTAGAGGCAGACACCTGCAGAGAGCATGAAAACTCTCCACACAGCCTGGACAAGGGAGACCAAGTGCTAAGTGGTGAGATAAGCAGCAGTGAGAAACAGCGGTGAGGATTCTGGATTCATAGGAGGAAGGTTGTGGGTTCACATTCCAGATGAGGTACAGATGTTGTACCCTCAAGCACATATATGGGCTAAAATGAGTACTATTGTAAGTCAGTTTGGACGAAGGCAAGTGAGTCTCAGCAAATACTGGTAACCGTTAGCACAGCTAACTGGACTGGACCAGTAGTAGAGTACCTTGCCCACAGGCACAACAGCAGCGAGCTTTTCAAGGAAACCCCCTAACCACTACTTCACCACATCCCCTCGCATCCAGATAACACTTACTAGGTACAGGAATATGTAGATATGACTCCTGTGTGTCTCATACTATCTGCATTAATTTATATTATGTATACAGCATTCTACTTTCCTTCATTCTCAATTAATTTCATTTCACAACATTATTAAAAATGACATTTTTATCTCATTCAAAATATACACATTCCCGTTATATATAACCCAAAATCTCACAGCTTTCAATTTAGTGTAATGGGTCACTTTGCACCACATAAAACTTTAAATGAACTCAGAAGCACATAACTAAAGACGCACACTCTTCTTGCAATGCCTTGGTAGCAGAGTCAAATTGTGTTTACTTTTTATTTTGCTTTATAATTTATTTTGATTTTTTAAATTTGGAACCGTTGATTGGGCTCCATCTATCAGTTATATCACTAATCTTGTGACTGAGAACATCTGATAACTGCATTTCCTCCACTGCCAATATGCCCAGCTTACTGAAAAAACAGTCACAAGACAGTTCATAAATTTAAAGGTAATACATCCTTAATACATTCTAAAAATTCAGACAAGAACTTTTACATAGTTGAAACGTCCACCCTTCAAAGTATTTGCTACGAACTGTTTCCCCAAACTGATGAAATCGTATTATGACTTCAATAATAAAAAACAATTAGGGTATTTCTTTCAAACATTCTGTCGTAAATATGCACGATTTCCAGCCAGACCAAAAAAGCGAAGGAAACAAGACACTTCAACATTTCAATGTTTGTCACAACATCTATCAGCACTCATTCATCTCTCAGGCTGGACACAGACCTGTCTTGGAACATGCTATTTTCTAATTGAGTACTTTTCTTAATGTTTTGATTTTTAAGATGGTCATGAACCAAAAAGTATTGATAATTAAATATATACACTATTTGCAAAGCAGAAAAAAGCTTGATTATAATTAGATTTAATGTTTGCAAGTGCTATGACTCACTATCAGTTTGAATAATATATATGAATTACACAATGAAAAACTGTCACCAATCATTGCAAAGGAAGAAAAAAGAGGAAGGCTATGATGTGGGCAGAGCTGAATGGCTAATGGGTTGCCATTAAAGTAGCAACACATTCTTTATCATTACACAGACAGTGTGGTGCTATTGCAGGATCTGATGACATCTGTACTCCTATTGACAAACACAGCTGGAACAAGTTAATCGATACCTTCTAACACCCACTTGTATTTTAAGTGGAAAATTAAAAGAAATGAAGAAGGAGCAGGTGTTTTAACAATGTAACCTGAAAGAAATAGACATGGAAACATTAGATACTCTCCAAGAAAGAGCTTGCCAATTAGTTATTATACTGTAGCACATACAGTTGTTGGGTGTTAAATCTGATGTTAACTGATAGATGTGAAGTGATCTTACCAATGAACAATTTCTGTTCTTCAAAGATGACCATGAAAACAATTATGTCCAATTTTCCTTTTTATGTAGATTATTGAGGCTTGGTGTAATGGATGCAGAACACGGTGTACTGTACGTGTACACTTATGATGTACAGCCTTGATACATTAACTGAACCCAGAGAGGCCCTACAGTATAGCAAGAAAGGTCTGCTACAAGTAACTGTAGTAAGAGTGATTTTCATCTTAATTAAAGGAATGTTTCAGTATGTACATTTCTATCCCATTCATGTCTGCCTAAACTTCACCCACATCACCCAGAGCAGCAGTGTCCATCTGGAGACTTAGAAAGTCTCACTCCTGAGAGACTTTTCACTGTAGAAGTTTTAATATTTAACACATTTTCACATTCTGTTTTCTGAGTGGTTACAGCCTCAGTCTACATCTACAATCTACTTATATTATACAGATTAGAAAACCAGAGTTTAAATGCAAGCATCTGTATCAGAAGATATAGCATTATGCAGTTTCTATTTTATCACCACATGAGATTCTAGTCTTGCTGCGGCCTCCCTGTGCAGTCCAGGAACTTTAGGAGCAAACATGCAGCACAAGTGTACTGAACTTACTGTGCGCTCTCATCCAGAAACATCTCCTTCCCCTTTGTGGTCAAGGGTCAGTTAAACTTGTCCCAAGACTAAAACAGCCCTGCAAGACCCCAGTAATGTGATTTTCTGTGGCAGGCTAGCAAGTTAAATGTATTCTCTTTTACCACATCCGCAAAAGGCTAAAACAGAAACAAAAGTTTAACAGGGAATTTCTCATAAAAGATATCAGAGGGATTTAGACAATTTACTAAACTCAGCAGTCACCACCTATGAAAATATGGCCAAGATAATTCCTTGGGCTCCAACTCTTCACTATAAACACACACTGGTTTTAAAGAAACACTTTGCAACAGAATGCCAGTTTTTCAGTCTTTTGAGAGTTATATCCTAGTCAGAATTATTAACAACACTGTTGCAAAGAGAGTCCAAAAATGCAAAAGATTAAATTTAAAAAAATCTGATTTTATCCACCTCTGCTTTCAGCCAGCGGGACTCAGGTGGGAACAGCTAATGTGCCAAGCGTCTGTGACGGTGGCTCTGAGTCTAAATTTAAACACTGCAGGCAGACAGTGGGCCTGATCCCCTTGGAAACCACTGAACGAGGGCCTAAAGCCACCTCTCCAACTGCACGCCAATGACAGCTCATTAGACACAGACCGCAGCAGACACAGGGGAGGGACACCTACACAAAGAGCTGTGGTAAATCAGGCAAGGATATAGATAGGCATATATTCACAAACCTCAGAGGTCTTCCCAAGCAAGATACGGAGATACGGAGAAAAATGTCTGGAAATGCAGATAAAAATTGTTCTGGGTTCTCAACTGAAATATAGCAGTCACAGTTCAGTATCCATAAGTCCTTCTGTTATTCTTCATCTCATAATAGTTTTGGTGTTTCTACATAAAAAGCTAAACTTCTCTCAAACTATAAAGCACATTACAATAATTCTGCAGAACCTCCACAGGCACCCTTGGTTAGCCACATATGAGGAATGTAGCAGAAAAGCAGACGTGCACTGCTTGAAAAGTCAGACTTTCCTCAGCAGAACACACAAAAAGCTTTAGAAAGCAATGCCAGCTCATCTCTGGCTCAAAATACTGGTCCATTTAGCTACAATAAGCTGACACAATTTTCCTGTCTTAGATCGCAGAGAGGAATTCAGACTTGTTTAAGACTTAATACTCAACGCATAAAAGCTCCTGTGCACTTTACCTCTAGAAGGCAGCTGTGGATTCCTAGAACCATGCATTGGTTATTTTTGCTGTGAAATACCTATAAATGCACTTCTCTGACTGGCAAGTAAGATTAAAGAATTATTGTTTCAATACAAGAGATCATATATACATTTTCAAAAGCAGAGTCTTCATCTCGAATTCTTTGCCACCACACCAGTTCGGTAAGCTATAAAAACCCCTCCACTCACTTTAAATGGAATTAAGACACTAGAACTAAATCACGACATTGGGTGTGAGATACAATATTGTGCTAAAAGACAACGGTGTAGTTTTACCACATGATTACAAATAATTGTGGATTTGTACTGCTATATTGTTCTTGAGCGTATATTAATACATGATAAAAATACGATAGATTCAGTATAGTGCCACATAAGCCCTTTACAGTTACCTCCATAATTAAGTGAATAGAAACATGTGGATGTGCTCAGTTTAATCTTCACTGGTTCACTCGTTCCAGGGTGGAACACAAAGATAAACAAAGGCTATAAAGGACAGAGTGATGACAGAAAAATATATTTTTTTTTTTATCAAGGAAGTTTCTTTTCAATGTTAATCAACACAAAGGGGACAAGAGAAGCCTGTGTGGAAGTGCATTTAAAACTCAGAACAGGAGACACTGCTTCACCCAAAGAGTTGTGAGAGGCCGGAACCTTGTGAGAGGCCAAGTTGTTAAACGCAATGCCGAAGATTGTTTTACAAGAAATGGTTCAGGATGTATGAGAATCGGAAACAACCAATGGAAACAACCAACTGGGTCAGATGTGCCAAATGGCCTCTTCTTATTTGCAACTCTTCCTCTGCCTGTGTTTGGTTTCAACCGAAAAAAAAAAATCCAGATAATTAAAAGCAGATAGTCCTAAGCAAAATTGAGCACGTAT